GGGAAAGGGAGGAAGGGAGGAAGGAAGGAAAAAAGAAAAAGTGGAAAGTATTCCTGCATAAAATAAACTATAAAGGTTTCTTGTGCTTCAGATGAAAGTGACAGAAGTGAAAATGAGCGAAGATTAGAAGATTTTGAAAGTAAACTGGGGCTAGTGAGATGGCTCATCAGCTAAGAGCACTCACTGTTCTTGCAGAGGACCCAGGTTCTGTTCCCAGCACCCATGTAGTGACTAACAACTGTCAGTAACACCAGTTTCAGGGGATCTGACACCCTCTTTTGGTCTTTGTGGGCATTGCACAACACAGGTGCACTTACATACATTCAGGCAATATATTCATATACACAAAAAATGAAAGTTTTAGAAAGCAAAACAGGTTTGCAGGGTGCACTGGGTACAAGAGGTGAAGAGTCAGTGGATATAGTTCTAGCTTGTGTAACTGTGTAGACAGTGGTGACATTCTTTAAGTATCTGCAATTGGAAAGAAATCTTTTCCCTTCATTCAGAATTTTCCAATTTCCAAATACCTGGATACTTCTATGAACCCAAACGCTGGACTTTTCTCAGGGCTTAGCTTCAACTTCCCTAAAACTGTTTGATGCTACTGATATCTGCTTGCTAGTTCTAGCAACCATTTGGATTCCTCCTGTCTGCCAATTGCTTCACTTTCTTAACACTACTCTGAATCCCATCTACCACTCTTCCTCTGATCTGTATGTGTTTGTTAGATCCGAGGATTGATCTCCTTAACTTCAACTGTCATCTGTGTAAGTATGTCACCTAAAATCTAATCTCCACAGGAGGATACAAAAAGGAACAAGAAATGTCTAATATGCACTGCTCAGGACAGACCTCTGGTACATGAAGCAAAATTTTAGATGAAAAATAGGAACAGGAAGTGGTGGTACATATCTGTATTCACAGGAGGAAGGCAGGAGGACTGTGAGTTCAAAGCCAGCCTGGGATGCATGGCAAGACCTAACTTCAAAATTCCAAAACGGTGAAACAGGAAGAGTATGTTAAATGCCATTGCCTATTTAAGAATAATGGGACAAAGTGGGATGAGTTATTTACAAGTCATGTATAATACTATAAACAGCAACTAGAGAGATGGTGAAGAACAGGTATTGCTACTGTTCAAGTTTTGTTCCCAGCAGCTTACAACCACCCATAACTCCAGCCCCAGAAGGTCTTATGCCCTCTTCTGGCCTATGGGAACCTGCAGATACACATGCATAAACCAGAGAGACAACATACACAATTTTTTTTTTTTTAAAGCCAGAGTTTACCTACATAGCCTAGCCCTAGCTGGCCTGGACGTTGCTTTGTAGACCAAACTCACCTCGATTCATATAGATCCACCTGCCTCTGCCTCTGCCTCCTGAGTGCTGGGACTACAGATGTGCATGACCATACCTAGTTTTAGGGGGTGCTGAGGCTCTAACTCAGGGTTTCCTACATGCGAGGCAAGCACTCTACCAATGGAGTAGGCTACCTTCCCAGTCCCCCTCTCCACATCCACTTATTCTGTAAGCCATATTTATGCTTCCCACAAAAGCTCACTTTCAAGTTTAACAATGGGTCTTACTGGGGGGAAGTTCTCTACTAGAGAGGAGCCTTAATCCTTGCTCCACACGGTGCTGGCTCGGTCCAGTAGCAGCAGTTCCTTCCTAAAGAAACAGTCCTAGTTTGCAGTTTTTCCAATCTTGCAGAACCAGCTTTATTGCAACCCACTTTCGATATTATCAGTGCCAGGCTTCAAAGATCTGGGTCCTAACCTAAACACCACTGAAACTGTGCCGTCTTCTTCAGATGTTTGGGTTTAAGTTTCCCAAGGCCCATCTTTTAACGTAATTGCATTATTTCTTGTGCCTGTGTGCACATATGGACACGGCGTGGATACACAGATGTCACAGAATGTGTGTGATAGTCACAGGACAACTTCCAGGAGTCAGCTTTCTCCTCCCAGCATGTAGATTCCAGGGACCTAAGTCAGATCGTCAGGCTTAGTGGCAATTGTCTGTACTGCTGAGCCATATCACCAGCCCTAACTTAAAAAAAAAAATTATTATTATTATTATTATTATTATTGGTCTTTTTGAGACAGGGTCTCCCTGTAGCCCCAGCTGTCCTGGAACTCACTATGTAGACCAGGCTGGCCTTCAACTCACAGAGATCTGCCTGCCTCTGCCTCCCGAGTGCTGGGATTAAAGGTGTACGCCACCATGCCCGGCTGTAAATATTATTTTTATGTGTCTGAGTATATCCCCTGCATGCATATAGGTGTACTCATATCATGCAATGCCCATAGAGGTCAGAAGAGGGTGTCAGATCCCCCTGGAACTGGAGTTACAGACTGTTGTTACTGCCATGTGAGTGATGGAAACCAAACCCGGTTTTTCTGCAAGAGCAGCCAGTGCTCTTAACCACTAAGCCATCTTTCTAGCCCCAGTTCTAATTTTTTTTTTTTTTCGAGGCAGGGTCTCCCTGTAGCCCCCAGCTAGCCCAGAACTCACTTTGTAGACCAGGCTGGCCTCAATTTCACAGAGATACACCTGCCTCTGACTCCCCAGTGCTGGGATTAAAGGTGTGTCACTGCCACCCAACCCGCCATAACTTTTTTTGTGGGAGACAGGGTCTCCCTATAGCCTCAGCTGCCCTGGAACTCACAGAAATTCTCCTGCTTCTGCCTCCCAAGTGCTGGGATTAAAAGCATGCACCACCACACCCAGCCTTGCCATAACTTTTTAAATAATGTAACTTATTTTGTTTTGGTTTCCTCAGATGTCTAAAAATGTTGCCAACCCTGATATTTTAATAATTATCTTTGTGTTTTTTCTTCAGAAAACAACTATATCTAGCTAATAGTTTTTAATTTATTTATTCATTTATTTGATTTATTTTATATGTATGAGTGCTTTCCTTGTGTAAGTGCACTGTAATGTGCAATGCCCACAGAAGTCAGAAGGCAGTCTCAGATCTCCTGACTCTGGAGTTCCAGATGTTTGTTAGTCATTATGTAGGCGTTAGTACCACCAAACCCAGCTTGGTTCTCTGCCTGGGTAGTCAAGGTTCTTAAAAACTGAGCCACTGGGCTGAAGAGATGGCTCAGCGGTTAAGAACATTGGTTGTTCTTGCAGAAGACCTGGGTTTGAATCACATCACCCACATAGCAGCTAACTGTCTGTAACTCCAGTTGTAGGGGATCCGATAGCCTCTTCTGTCCTCTGCAGGCACTGCATGACATGGGTGCACTTACCTACATGCAGGCAACACACACATACACATAAAGTAAAAATAATAAATTTTTAAAAATTAAATTAAAAACTGAGCCATCTCTCCAGCCCCCTAATTAATACTTCCTGATTTAAAGAATTAAAATGGTTCTTTACTGCAACCAATACTAATAAAAGATACCCTATAATATATTTATTTTTTTCTGGAGAAAATGATTATCGTCAATGTGATTAGGAACTAAGATTACTAATACAAAGGGCTGCTCAGACAGCTCAGTAGATAAAGGTCTAAGTTATCCTCTGATCTCTATAACATGCAAATACATGCACACACAAAAATGTAGTCAAAAACCATTTTTAAAGACTTCTAGATCATATTCCTAAAATGCTTAGAAAAATGGCCAAATCATACTGTAATCTCCAAAATTCAATTTTTTAAAAATCCCTCATGCTGGCAAATGAGTCCAGGGTCTCACACATACTAAATACTGGCTGTTGTTGCACAAGACCCAGGTTTGAATCCCAACACTTACATGGCAGCTAATAACTGTCCAGAACCCAGTTCCAGGAGATCCAATGCCCTCTTCTGTCCTTCATGGGCACTGCATGACACAGGTGCACTTACACATGTGTAGGCATAACACTCATACACATAAAAATAAAAGTTTTTTTTAAAAAAGCTGATACCACAAGTTTCATAGTTTATCCCCTAAAGCAAGTTCAATCTGAGCTTTAGGAAGAAATGTGGATACTTTTGAAACAACAAAAATAATTTTAATTAATATCATCTATGTTCATTTATAGAGAGAACTCTAAATTCCTGTTGTTAACCCAGGAAACAAAGAGGTTAAAAATAAACAGCAAAGAAAACTAGTCACGCGTACAAAAAAATAAATTCCTGATAAAGTTAATTTTTTCTAACCAGACTTAAGTTTCTTCCTAGATCTTTTGTTCCAAACTAAAGGAACTGTCTAGAGAAATCAATGAATCTGGATTCAAATGTTGATAAGTTTACTGTACTTGAAACATGCCACAGAATTCATCTCATCATGGCTAACCCACCAAAGATTCCTAGGGATCAGGTGTCCAGCTTAGGTTTAGGAGTAGCAAAGAAAAGATATCACTGGACCTCTAAATTGAGCACCTTGGACAGTACTACTAAAAAGAGCTTTCCCAGTAATACCAAACATACATGATTTTCTTAAAACTGTAGACCACTGGGTGGGTAGATGGCTATGCGTGTGAAGTCGCTTGCTTCCCAACCCAACAGTGTGCACGCCTGCTGACCTGAATTCAATCCCCAGAATATACATATGGAAGAAAATCGACTCCACAGGATTGTTCTCTATTTTAACATCTAGCCCCCAAGCATGCATGTGAGCACATATAACAATTAAAAAAAAAAATCAACAAATCTTACTGATCAAAGATATAATGTACTTCATATGTACAACTATACAGTTTATAAATAGAAAAATAAAAAGAAAACCGAAGTAATAGTTTTATAAGTCCTAGTAAATCAGTACAAAGGAATGAAATACTGTGATGCTTTTCTCTAGAGTATGGAAATACAAGAAATACAATGCTTTATTCTTTTTTGGAAGAGTTTATTTTTATTTTATGTGTATGAATGTTTTACCTATATATATGTAAGTGTACCACATGTGTACCTGGTGCCCATAGAAGCCAGAAGAGGGCACTGGATTCCTTGAATTGGAGTTAAAGTGTTGGTCACCCTGTAGGTCCTGTGCACCAAACCCAGGTCCTCTGAAAGAGCAAGCAGTAAGTACTTGTAACTACTGAGTCATATTTACAACTCCAAAAGGGGTTTATTTTGAGACAGGGTCTCATTGTATAGCCCTGACTGGGCTAGAACTCTCTATGTAGATCAGGCTGGTCGCAAAGAGATTTGCCTGCCTCTGCCTCCATTCACCATTGTTCATATACTTAAAATACTACATAAATTTGCAGATTAATGATCTAAAGTTTGGATTTATATATAGAACCCTCCAGCATTTGTTGCTTCTTGAAATGTATATACTTACCTGATTAGACTTTTCTACTGTACTGCTGGGAACCTCAGTAGTGTCCTTCACAAAAAAGTTATCTATGATATGTCTCTCTGCACATTCTTGACTGCACACTGGGCATCGAATGACTCCAACTGAGAAAGACAAAATTGAATTTGAAGTTTTAATGTTTTATAAAAATATACTAGAACTACAGAAACACATCTCACTTTAAACTGTAATTGGATGGGGCTTATATTTATTTCACTATGTTTACTCTTTAGGTCTGCTTTCTAAATTCGTAAGGAATTTGGGTGTGTATTATATTCATCATATATAAAAATAACAAACTATATTAAATGTTGCATAAATCCTTCTGATTTTAACTGACACCTTCAATGGCTTCTATTTATACTGATTAACAACTTCCCTAGCACTGATTTTCAAACAGAAGTGGTTTGTGCGCTTTGTGTTTGAGATAAGTCATCATTATACCCAATGGCACATTTCTAATGTATAAGAAACTATGATTCTCTCCAAGCCTATGAGATTTCTGGAAGAGGACACTCAACTGTTGAAAATCTCCACAAGCTATTCAGAAACACCATTCAGCTAGACATGGTGGCACATGCCTGTGATCCCAGCACTGGGAAGGCAGACGCAGAGATATCCCTGTGAGTTCAAGGTCAGCCTGGTCTACATAGCAAATTCCAGGACAGCTAGGGCTATATAATGAGGTGTATTGAACAGGAAAAAAAAAAAAAAAAAGAAAAAGGAAACATTAGGAAACATTATTCTGTGATTCCCTTGAACAGATGTAAATAGTATTTCTTGGGGGTGGGATAGGGTTTTATTTACAGATACATACAATGAATTAATCTGATAGAAACTTGATGGAAACTCCAGTAAGGTTCTCAGATACTCATGGCTTGAATATGAAGTGTTCCCTACAGGCTGAGCTGGGAGGACTATTTTTGGAAGTTTTGGAAATTTTAGGCGGTTAAGGCCTAGTTAGAAGAAATAGGTCACTGGAAACACGCCTTGAAGGTTCTATCTGGTCCCCAGACCATTCTCTCTAGGCTTTTTGTCCACATGAGGTTCACAGCTTCCTTCACCCAATGCTCCCATTGCCATGGTACTCTACCTCAGTATGGGCCCATAATCAACAGAACACAAGATCTTTGAAACCATGAGCATAAACGAATGATCCTTCCCCTCAAGTTATTTCTATCTCTTATTTTGTCATAGGAATTGAGAAAAATAACATATATGTTTAAAACAAAATGTCCAAGAGCAAGACAAAGCAGTGCAAAGACCAATTTTATCTGTATACATTCAAACAACAAAAAGTTCAATTTACAAACATCTGAAGGGCGTGGTGGCTCACGCCTGTACTCCCAGCACTTGGGGGACAGAGGCAGGCTGATCTCTGAGAGTTCAAGGGCAACCTGGTCTACATAATGAGTTCCAGGTGAGCTGGGGATACAGGGAGACCCTGTTTCAAAAAGACAAAAAACAAAACTAAACAAAACAAATATCCATCTGAGGCCTCACATGGTCTCACTCTAGGTCTACCCTCAACAATTTATTACAACAAATAAAAATTAAAAATCCATTTTATAATAGCAAAAAATATTAAGTACTTAATAAACTTGACAAATATGAAATGTAATTGTTGAAAAAACTTATATTGTAAACCATTTTTTTAAAAAGCTAAATATTAAAACATGTCTATGATGGTGAAGATGCTAATTCTCCCTAAGCATAGACAGTCAGTGTAATTTGGAATTTTATTAGAATTTGGTGAGTTGGGAGGACATGTCTACTAGATAATGAGACTTAAATCAAAACAGAACTAAATATGCATACCAGAAATAGACATAGATATGGATAACTGACTGGTGTGGCATTAGAAATTAGTAAGTAAATAGATGAACTCTTCAGGCTGCTGAAATAGCTAGCTAGATATCCATTCAGGATGAGGATATAATTAGATTCCTATTTTATCTGATGCAACAAAGAAATAAGTAGAGTGAGGACTTGAAAATTGGACTAACAACCTTTAATCCCAGAACTCTGGAGGTAGAGACAGGTGGATCTTTAAACTTAAGGCTAATCTGGTCTACATAGCAATTTTGAAGCCAGTCAGAGGCCTCAAAGTAGGACCCTCTATCTGTCTCTGTCTCTTATTCTCTCTCTCTCACACACACAATTAGGCTGGTGAGATGGCTCAGTGGGTAAAAAGGTACCTGCCACCAAGTCTGATGACCTGAGTTCAATCCCTGGGAACTATATAGTGGAAGGAGAAAACCGACTCCTGAAACTTGTCTTCTGACTTCCCTATGTATGCTGTGGCACAGGCATTACCCTGCTCCTCTGCATCCCCAAATAAATGAAAATATAAATGAAAATGTTTGCTACAGTTTGGATACTGAATGACCCCCAAAAGGATCACATATTAAACAACTGATCCCCAAAGTAGTCCAACCAGGAAGTGGTGAGACTTTTATATGGCAGGGCCTATTGGGAGGTCGTTGGGAGCATGTCCTTGAAGACTGTACAATCCTAACTTCTTCCTCTTTGTTCCCACTTGAAGAGTAAGGTTTGTTCTGCCACATATTCCCACAATAATTATGCTTTGGTGACAGGTGCAAGGCAATGGGGTCAACCCACCAAACCTACAAAACCGTGAGCCATAGTATCAGTCAATCAATCACCCTCCATTCCTCCCCCGCGCCCCCCGACTCCTTTCACTGTTTAGCACCAGTATGATGGTAATTCACAGCCTTCCTACCTCAGCCTCCTGAGTGCTGGAGTAAAAGTGTGCTTACCACCCTCAGCAATATTTTCTCTTTGTAAGTTGATAATCTCAGGTAGTTTTTATAGTACTAGAAACCTAACACTATGTTCACAAAGAGAGAGAATATTTATGACCTCAGAGTAGAAATAAACTTCTTAAGCAACAAACAGTAAGCAAAAGGAAAAATTGATATATTGTTTAGTTTCAGAAATACAATGAGAGGGGGTTGGAGAGATGGCTCAGTGGTTAAGAACACTGGTTATTCTTGCAGAAGACCCAGGTTCGAATCCCAGCACCCACATGGCAGCTAACAACTGTCCGTAACTCCAGTTCCAGGGGATCCAACAGCCTCTTCTGTCCTCCGTGGGCATTGCACAACACGGGTGCACTTACCTACATGCAGGCAATATATGCATACACATGAAATAAAAATAATAAATAAAATATTTTAAAAAATACAATGAGAGGCTAGAGAGATGGCTTAGTGATTAAGATCACTGACTGCTCTTGTAGAGGATCCAGGTTTGGTTCCCAGCACCCACATGGTATCTAACAATTGTGTAGAACTCCTCCAGGGGATCTGACACCCTTTTCTAGCCTAAGAGGGCTGTGCGCAACTTACATACAGGGAGGCCAAATATTCATATACATAAATAAAAACCAAAAGATTACTGTGTTGAAACTCAAAAGGGAAAGGCCCTAAAAATATGCTCAATACAAATTTGCCAAAATTTAACATTTAGTGTTTTTACAGATGATATTCACAGATTTTACAGAAAACAACAACAACAAAAAAAAACAAAGGGGCTGGAGAGATGGCTCAGTGGCTAAGAACACTGGCTATTCTTGCAGAAGACCTGAGTTTGATCCAGCACCCATGTGGTGGCTAACAACTGTTTGCAACTCCAGTTCCAGGTGATATGATGCCCTTCTCTGATCTCTGTCGCATTGCATGATGGTATACTTACATACATGTAGACAATATACTCAAAACACATAAAATAAAAATTAAAAAATAAAAATAAAGAACAGCCAAACAGTCATTCCATGAAAAAGAGGGGGAAAAACTCCTGAAAGGACAAGACCTAAAAACCATTAGGGTTTTTTCATTTTCTTTTTAAAGCCTCATTTATTTCAAAATGAATGCTTATGAAACCAGCAACTCATCCCAGAAATAGTAACGGGAAAAAATTATTTTCTGTTTCTCTGCCCAAAGAAAAGAGGAGAGGGGCAGTCTTACCATATAGAAAACTTTTAAGCAATAACCACTCTCTTTCAGCCAAATATCACAGAATGGGGATTTTTTTTTTTTAAAGTACCCTTTTCCTACTAGCAAAGGCAAAGTGGCAAGCCAAGAATTCCAAGCTAGCTGAAATGAGGTACCTACTGACCCTGTGTTGGGTGGTGCTAGGATGTTCCAGAAGACCTAAGATCAGTGAATTCTCTGTGCTGTCCATAGTGATTGGCTAAGAAAAGTGAGCAATAATGAAGTACTTTTCCATCACAGATTAGCTGGAGGCTAGGTAACAATCAGGACTTTTTATTGTCACCTGCCACACCATTCTCCTGCCATTATGTGCCCACTCCTTGGAGGTGTTAGTGCAGAACATGTAAGAAATGCTCATGTTCCTCCCAGAAATGGAGGTATTGGATACCTAATGGAAACACAGTTCTACCCTCTCAAATCAGAAGGACCTAGAAGTTTAAAACTCTTATTTCTGAACATACATTTATATAAAATGTAATATATTGGTTCAACCAATGAGTTAAATTGAACTGATTTAGTTCACAGACAGTTAATGGTTGCAGCAGATGTGTGTGTTGGGGGGTGTCACAAGGCCCTGCCCCTCGCTGAGGCATTAACAGTTGCTGGGAAAGAGACATTTCCTTCAGTGGTGTAGCCATTGGTAAATTGCCTGAGCTCTGTATGAATAACCCCAATTTAACTCACTGGTTCCCAAAGCTAGCTTGAGCAAAATTGTACTTTGTTTCTGTCATGCTCTGAGGTGAGGATACATTTGCCTATCTCCTTAGAAAAGTTCACAAAACATGAATTACTCCTGAAAAAAAGTGGCAAGAATCACCATACTCAATTTTTTCAAATGTATACAGATATAGTAAGAGACAGAATGGGGGCTGGGAGGATAGGCATGGACCTGAATGGAATAGACTAGAAAACCAAGAAAGACACCCAGGTAAGTAAACCAAACTAAACTCATTTTTTACAGAGAAGGGAAAGCAATCCAGTGGAAGGTTAAGTCTTTTCGATGAGTATTCATAGACAAAAAATTGAATCTTGAAGCTGGAGAGATGGTTCAGCAAGGTAAAAGCACTTCTTGCTCTTACAGAGGATAC